ACTGACTTATTTCTCTAGATCTACATCTTAGCTGTGTCACCTAGCGAGGTCCTCCCCTCCAAGTGCCTCAGCTTTCTCATATAAAAAAAGAACAACAGGGAAACAGTAAATAATTCATATACTATCGGGAACTTTGTGGACATTAGTTGAGCTAATGCCTTCAATCTGCTACTCAGGTGCCTGGCCAACAGGACTGACAGACATGCTCCCTCAGGGTCAGTTGTTGCACCTGTTAAATGGGGCTATGGTCCGTCTACCCCCCCCCCCATTGTGGCTGAGTCTGAACCAGAGGGCATACATTATTAGGCACAATTATTTCTCATTCTTGGTCCCCTCCAGAACCCTTCCACTCCAACCCTAGAAGTTTCACAAAGCAAAAAAAACGAAACAAAAAAACACACACCAAAAAACAGGGAAAACTGGGGAGGGAGAGGGACACAGTGTTTGCTACAAACAGAGGCAAGAAGCCGCCCAGCCTGCTATGCTGGTGTCACAGGTAGAGAAACTGAGGCAGGCCCCGGGGCACAGGAACTCGAGAGCTAGCAAGTGGCAGAAGCAGAGTGTAAAACCCAGGGACCTGCCTGGGCCACTTCTCTGTCCCCCGCCTGGAGGTGCCACTAGTGCTCGAGTGCCCACAGGTCACCTGCCCACCTGTGGCCTGGTCTGCAAGAAGGGCCAGAGGAGGAGAAGGCCGGAATTGAGAAAGGCCAGCAACCAACCCTTCTTTCCTCAGTCCCCTCCTCCCCGCAGGGAGGGAGGCCAATCCGGCCTCTTGGCTCAGGGAAGGGAGACGAATGTGCTCAGACAAAACACAAGGCCGGGCGTGCAGAAAGCCTCACGGAACCTTTTCACCAGTTCAGAGTGTTTCCCAGCGGCCAAGCCTTCCCTGGCCACCCCGTGCCCCAGCACAGCTGTCTGCTCCACACGGAGGCTGCCAGGCTGCCCCTCAACCCCGACATTTCCCACATGTGCACACACCATTAACCCTTTGGGGAACGGGCTGGCCTGTTTGGGACGGGAGCAGGGGAAAAGCTTCAAAGGGGAGGAAAGGCTGGGGGGACGAGAGATTCAGTTCCCATCCCCGGGGAATCACTTCCGCTCCCCAGGCCTCGGTCTCTCCCTTGTCAGATTGCAGCGCTGAAGCTAAAATCACAGACGCTGGAAAAGGCCCTGGAGTCAGGCTGCCTGAGTTAGAGCCTTCCTCCAGCACCTACCTGCTGTGTGACCTTGGGTAAGTTGCTCAGCCTCTCTGGGCCTCATCTATAAAGTGGAGGTGATAACCGTACCACAGAGGTCAGAATAGATCAAGTACTCAGAAGAGTACCTGGCACAACGTTAAGTGCTGTGTATAGTTATTACCACCCACCTACCTACTCTGCTATAAACATCCCTTAACTTAGAGAAAATTTAAGTATTGGGGAGGGGGCAGTGTAAGGTTGTGATGAATCTAGGAGATACACCTTGCACCTAGCAATTATCATTTAAAGCTACTAGACCAGAGGGACTGGGGGAGGGGCTGAGGAGGAGGCAGGAGGACGGAGCATAAATACCTGAGAGGCCAGGACGTGCTGCTGGAGGTGGAAGGGCAGGGTGGCCGCAGACGCCCCCGACAGTCCCTGCGCCGCG